TGAATAATATCACCTTTTTTATACTATTAATAACATATTAAAAAGAAAATACGGTTTAAGGCAATCATATATCGAGTCACGTTCTTGTACTTTCTTTTCTATTTAATGTCAAACTAACATATTAATCACTCATTTCTTTTGTATTTAAAACTAGAATTATGATATTTTATATCATTGCTATTTTAACTGCATCCGAATATTAATCTAATCGTATCACTTTCTCTTTGTCACTCTCATGCAGGGATATGCCTAGTGATGAGCAAGACTAAGGTTTTGATTCCAGAGGTTGAAAGATCAACAGAGGGCGCCACCTTTGCTACATTCTACCGTGGTGACGATCTCTATTGATATCTCAATGCTACGCAATAGAACTTGATAGTACACACATCATTGAATAGAGTACGTCTTCCTTTACAAATCGACATATATACCCCGTTTTGAGGTCAAAAATTACTAGGAAACTTATATAGTCGTCTTTTTAAGTCTGATTTTGCGCTTATTAATACATGTACTAGAAAAAAATGCGATATCATTTTCTACCAGTGTTAATGAGCTCGATATAATTTGCACAATTCGCATGATTTCTAATATCCTTCTTCACTAGTTTTTCTTTTTATTCACGAATACTTTGTTTATATGTTCGACAATTCTGTTGTTTACGAAAAAAACAAAAACAAAATTGTAATAGCAAATATTGAAATGATCGTAACTCAATAATTTTCACATAAACATGAGTCATGAGAATATGACATTTGACGTAAGCTTTACATGACTATCCATGTAATAAACATCGGAAATAAAACCGCCGGTTTATCGCGGTTTTATCTATCCGATTATCGGAGTAAACTAGCGGTTCTTTCCGATAAACTGCGGTTAGCCATTCCTTCTGTACAGTTAACCGGTACTTTTTCTTTGTTTTCTTAATATTTGTACGTAAATTAGACAGTTATATTTCAATTAATCTAACTTTTATTTTAACCAAAAATAAATCTTAAAATATAAATATAAAAGAATTTTAATTCTCAACTGAATCTCGTTATTGCTATATTGATTCTTTTCTCTAAGCAAGCAAACGAAATAAGTGAATTATAAAATCACTATATTTTTTAATGAAGATGAGTAGGTAGTTTAAATCCAAATAGTGATTTGAATAACTCTTGAAATTCTCTATTGAATATAGTATGTGCTAAAATTTCAAAAGAAACTTTATCAATAGAGTTTTTCAGAAAACCATTCCAGGAAAACTTAAAGTCCTAGAAGATTTTGAGAAAAATATTTTTCAAAATAGCCACTTGAAAGAGCAGAAAATTCTGAGCTAAATGAGGGATTGACCAGTTCTTTACGATGTTTCGTTGCAAAACTATAAGCTTAAGAAAAATACGAAAAACATGTGATTTTAGCAATTTCTCGGATTTTTCTTAAGCTTATAGTTTTGCAACGAAACATCATGGAGAGCTGGTCAACCCCTTATTTAGCTCAACATGTTCTGCTCTTTCAAGTGGCTATCTTGAAAAATCTTCTAGGACTTCAAATTTCACTGAAGTGGTTTTCTGGAAAACTCTATTGATAAAGTTTCTTTTAAAATTTTAGCACATACTATATTCAATAGAGAATTTCAAGAGTTATTCAAATCACTATTTGGATTTAAACTACCTACTCATCTTCATCAAAAAAAATTTCAAAAATATAGTGATTCTATAATTTTTCACAGTACTGTATGTTTTCTATAGTTCGTCGGAAAAATTACCGATGAAATTTATTACCAATCGCGGTATCAATTAAAACCGTCAATTTGGACAATTACTGCTAAAAGTGAGCCGGTTTTTGTGACATAGATAGACAAGATATTACTCCTAATAAAAAACCATGTTGGTCCCCGGAATATCTTATCCATATCTAGATGTGTAGTTCCAGTTTACTGACTACGAGCTCAGTCTAATTAATACACACGAACATACCGCTAGTAAAAAGGTACATTTTGATAGGGTTGATGTCTAAATTTTACAGCAAACACCGATGCCAATGTAATCAGTGCACATCGTTAGTCTTATCGGTCTCGATTCTTCATCATCTGAATGAAATTTTTTTTTTGTTTTTTAAGAACCAGATGCTTCTAATGATAATGAACGTCGTAAGTCAATCTTCACTAATTTAGTGAATACATTTAATCGAATACGAACATATTATCATGTCCGTGGAGAACAATCTTCATTACCTGTTACATCAACTTCTTCAGCATCTTCGACGCCTTATTTTACATTTGTACTCTGGTCTTTAGTTGCTATTAAAGTTTATCAATTTTATTGGTATCTTGGACGAATATTGATTTTTGTCATTATTTATAAAATAATTAAAAAAATTCTATTTGAAACTTATATCTATTTAATGAGACAACAAAGTGTGCAATGTATAATTCAACGAATAATTAATTTTTTGAAAGATCGGTAAGAAAATACTTTACTTTTTCTAAATAAATCGATTATTTTTTTAAAAAAAATATATATAATTAGACGTGATGTATTAACTCCATCACCTTTACATGGTCTTGTTCGTTTTCTTATTAAAGGTGATAAAAAATTTAATCATGGCCTACAAGGATCTATTGATTATCTAGTCAGTGCAATTATGATTGTTACATTACTCATTACAGTTCTTTTTGGTACAATACTTCTTATTATACAGGTTTCTTTTTTGAGAAATTTAAAAAGAAAAAAAAAAAATTTTTCATTTAATTTTAGATTCATCATGAAAGTATACATATGATTAAATTAACAAGTAATCTTATTAATGAAACAATTGTACTTCAACCATCATTTCAACATATGTTACCTGATAAAGAACATATGGGTAAATTAATGGATACAGCTGTCAATAATTTTTATTCTGTCGGAAGAACTTGGATTGGAAAACAGGTTAGAATAAATAAATAAATATATTATTAGTTTTCAATTCATAATTCGACCTTATAGGATTCATCAAACTAGAACTGAATTGATTCGTCCTACACTCTAGAAAAAAAAAGGGTTTTCGAAAAGAGTGATCCATTTCTGAAGCTCGAAAACTTGTTTGAGTCGGTTTCTGAGAAAACCTGTTTTCTTTAGAGTTTATACTAAATTAGAAAGTATGCTATTAAAATAATAGTAATTATCATTAATAAGAAAACATCATCGATATCCAGTCTTTCACTTAGCAAAAAATTTCATATTGACATAACGACGATGAAGAGCTCAACTTTCTATTATTAAATTCTGACATTTCTTGAATCAAAGGCGATTACAAGTTTCAAAGCCATTTTTGACCACAGAGTGGGATATCTACAGCCTTGTAAAGGAAAGACTTCTTCTATCTAATGATGCATGTACTATCAAATTCTACTGCATACCGTTGACATGTCAGTGGATGCCGCCATCTATCCTCAAGTGAATGGTACGCAATCGAAGTTGATAACGGCCCAACGATTTTATCTTTCTTTGACATAACTTTTTCTGAGATTTGGCTCACCCTTGAGGAAGGATAGGGGGAAGCTTCTCCATGCTACCTCCCTTCCTTGGTCATCACTTTTTTCTAAAAGCTGAAAAATATGGAATAGTTGTCTATTGAGAAAAAAAAAATCTTTGTAAACGAAATTTCTCTTAGGCCCGCGCCGAGCCGAGCGAGCCTAAACAATATTCGGGCAATAAAAAAAGTGGCTCGATTTCAAGACCTGGTTGATAATACATACACTGTTTGATAGAGGAAGCCTTATGCAACAAGTTTACATATAGGGTGTCCGGAAAGTCCTTAGAGTTAGAAAAATTTGGATATCTCCATTATGGTTTGACTGAACGAGCTCATTTTTCTAACAAAGATTGAGGCATGTTCACACT